TGCCCTGCTCTGTTCGAGAGACTCTGCACTGAGCAAATGTATCTACTACCATTGCTACACACTGTTACAGCCCTCATCACTGATAACACTGTAGATTGAACCTGATGGCTTTTTTCTGCCCTTCTAGGAATTTGTGATGGTATGTTAACAGAAGCCCAGGGATTACGCTTTTTCAGGGTTCGGGTGGCATGGTAACACTAAGGGATGTCACTATCCCTTATCCCAGGGGTTCTCAAACTTTTTACAACCACTTTAATAGTAAAAAATCCATGGACCCCCTCAGTACAGATTTATTTTATTCAGATATTAGGATTATTATTTAAAAGTGTCCAATCATTTAGGGTGAAGGCTAACATGTGCTTCCTCCAAGACACCCAGCCAGCTGCTTCTTTTTGCACTGCTGCTCATGCTGCGTCAGCAGAACAAACTCGGAGGAAAGCGCTATCTGCCCTCTTCCTCATACATGAGCTCGCAGACACACACTATTGGCTAGTGTTGCTGTGATTGACAGGGGAGAGAGAGCATGCCATCCCTCCCACACATACGCAATGGCCAGTATTGCTTCCTTGTCTCCAGGGCACAGATGGCTGTGGCATCATTAGAATTTGAACTCGTGATCTCATGACGACAATGCAAATGTTTTTTTTTTTCTGGCCACTGAGCTTTTTATTTCGTTGTTTTCAAGTTATTGAATTTTGGATTAAACCCATTTAATTTAAATTACCAGTTGAACAGATTAAGTGTAGTTATATAGTTATAATAATGATAGTGATATAGTTGTAATAACTTATAAATAAATTAGAGTTATAATAACTCAATAATTAATAATGTTTTGATAATGGTGGTTTATATTTTGTAACAAAATGTTTAAAAATCATGGACCCCCTGCCTATATTTCACAGAGCCCTCTTTTGAGAGCCATGGCCTTATACTATACCTTTGTGTTTTTACGTTGTTGTACAAAGGTGTTTTGTCCACACTGAAATGCTGGAATGATTGGAAAACGCAGATACTGAGCACAATATCTGTCTTCCATTTTTTGCACATAACACTGTTTACATGTTTTGATGTGACACACACCAGCAAAAATAGAAGTGACAAATAAAAAGAGCATATTTGCACATGAGTGAATATAAAGTACTTCCTACTGCATGCAAAAATGCTGAGTTTATATTGTATTCACCTCTGTTTGTTGCAAATGAGTGACCAAAACAGAACCAACAGCAAGAGTCAAGTTAAGTCCTCCATTGTTTTGGATGTTGGGATCGCATGACAATCAGGATGATTTCAAATATCTCTAGTTTCCCTCATCCACACTAAAGTGGGAAAACTCCATATTCAAATCTGGCTGGCTCTGGAGAGCGTTTTCAAAAAGAATGGCAGTGGTTGAAAATACTGTTTGAGTGTGGACAAAACAGGGAAAAGTGTCTGTTTTAAAGTGCATTCTTATTACAGTGGACAGTGATTTAGAGAACAGCTGATCTGTGCAGTTAAGGCTGATATCCAGGATGATATGTATCCTCTTCTTCTCTGATTCCCTCTCTCAGGACACAGAGAAGCGTACTCCCCTCCATGCAGCAGCATTCCTCGGTGATGCGGAGATCATTGAGCTCCTTATCCTCTCTGGTAAAGTCCTCTTCTCTCTTCTTCTCTACTTAATACCTTCATCTTCCTAAAAACTTGTATGAAGTCTTTCTTAAAAATGAAAGGTCATCTTCCTACTCTACCATTTTCACAGTGGTGTTTGTAATGCGCCTGAATTAGATGCAGTGCCCAAATGAAAGGTGTTGAAATGAAACCTTAGCACGCTTTCCTCTCTGTCTAATTGGCCTCGCCTCTCATTCTCTTCTCCAGGAGCTCGGGTCAATGCCAAAGACAACATGTGGCTCACTCCTCTTCACAGGGCCGTGGCGTCACGGAGTGAGGTGGGTTTAACTACCGGCCATTCAGACGTGTTGTTAAGCCACAAAATGTGTTCAGAAAGGTAGAGTAGGTTGAGGTGCAGATGTCAAGTCACTAAGACAGCACAGACAGTGCAGGCTCTGGAGCGTATTGTAATGCAGCCACACAGTGAGAGCTTATCTTGTTAGCTCACTTAAACTGCGCTGGAAATAAGTCTGAAAGTGGGACAACAGGAACTGTCACAAGATCAGTCAGATAGCAAGATTCATTCTGCACCATAGCAACATGAGCAACACGTATGAGTATGTAAAAAACACACATAAGAACTGTCATGAAAATGAAAGGTCTAATAAGTGAAAACATTCCTGTACAATATTACACACTTTTCTACGAGTCACATTAAATCTCTTTTTTATCAGTTGTTTAATATTTTTAAAAGCATGTAATACTTTAAAAAAAACACATTGGTCTTGCATTTTTATATTGTGGCACTGCTGATTTGCTAGTGTGTATGTTACAAATCAAGCCTCATTCTCATTATCTCTGTCATGTATCGTGACAAGTATTATGATGATATAGTGTAAACAAATTACTGTGTCATCTGACCCTAAGTGAAAAAAAAAAAATCAAATAGAACAAAATTCGCAGCAGCTTGTAAATGATTCTTTTTTAACATTGGTTAGAGCAACATCAGTTCCTTCCTGTTTCTGTTTCATAACCTGCCACATGACTAGTTATATGCATCCCACAAGACAAGATACAAAACTTTAGTGTGCTTAGAAATGATAAAAATACCTTACACACTAATTTCTTTGATTATAGATTTAGGCTATAGATTTTTCCTTCCATATTCTTGTGTGAATGCAGGATTGACTCTATGAATGAGAGGTCACTGTGACTGTGTCTGCTATATGTTCTGCACAGTTCCTTCTTCACACCCACTTCCTTTGTGTCTAGGAGGCAGTGCGTGTGCTGATCCGTCACTCGGCCGACGTGAACGCACGTGACAAGAACTGGCAGACGCCTCTTCATGTGGCAGCCGCCAATAAGGCTCTGCGTTGTGCTGAGCTCATCATCCCACTGTTGAGCAGTGTAAATGTGTCGGACCGTGGCGGGCGAACTGCCCTGCACCACGCCGCCCTCAACGGACACACCCAGGTATAATAAACATGTGTATGTATGTTGTATTGGCCCTGTAAGTGATATTAGTGTAGCTCTATGGATCTACAGTATGCATCACTATTTGTAAAATGTGAGTGCAAATGTGTGCAATTGGCAGCCTGGTAAAAGACAATACATTAAAATTTAGGAATGATCTCACATTCCTCAGTCCAACAAATGGACATCACCAATAGAGTTTGTCCATTTTGTCCATACCAAGCACCTCATTAACACACAGCTGTGGGTTGAAACACACAGAACTGCCTTCAAGTCATTTCAAATGTTCCAATAGGATCCTCCCACAGACTCACTTTCATGCTCACTTCCTGAACTGGCTTCAGGCATTGGTTTTGGTGGAGCTGTCATCCTGAGTGGTATTTAAAAGGATGTTATATAAAGTGAGACACACACCAACTGACGCACGACTGACTCACAGCCTGTAACCGGCTGTGACTGGCACAGTCGTTCCTTCTTTCCTTGCCATCTTTCCATCTCTGAATTTCTTTGTTTCTTCTGTCCCTTTACTGCTTAGATGGTCAATCTGCTGCTGGCGAAGGGGGCCAATATTAATGCCTTTGACAAGAAGGACAGCCGTGCTCTTCACTGGGCGGCCTACATGGGTGAGACGGGAAGGCGGAATATGCCACTCACACATTTTATGCACAAATAACACTGTAGTTTTGAAATATAGCAGCTGTGGTCAAGAAAGTAATGCACTTTACATGGGTCCAGATCCAATCAGGAAGTCCAATCTGGTGGAATGGAAGTATAAAAAAGTAGGAAGGAAATGCATTGTCAACTAAAACGTTCGGGGGGCTTTCCTTTGTTCTGCCCTCTGCAGGTCACTTAGATGTGGTGTGTTTGCTGGTGGAACAGGGAGCAGAAGTCAGCTGTAAAGACAAGAGAGGATACACACCTCTCCATGCTGCTGCCTCCAATGGACAGATTACTGTGGTTAAACATCTGCTCAGCCTGTCTGTGGAGGTAATTGCACACGTATTTGCATCCACTTATTCATGCTGCATAACACATTTTTGCTGCTCCGACTTCTCCTACATACAGCAATGTACGTATATGTACACATTAAAGGAATAACTTGAGCAAAAATGAAATGTACACATTTCCCACTTTACCAAGAAATGCAGTCGATTAGCAAACAGATGTTTAGTTTGGTGGTTGAATGGAAAAAAATGTCTGTCTTATGATTTAGAATAGAATTCCCAAATGGTAGAAATGTGGGTGTATCCTGCAACAAGGCAACAATGCATGAGGGTGAGTCAAAACCTTAAAAGTGCAACCTAAATTAGAGGAACAGTACATTAAATTTGTAGTTGCAAAATTAAAAGTGTACTACTCATCCATTGTTCTCAATAACCGCTTCTACTGCTGCCTTAAACCTGATACACTTTTGTTACACCTATTTGAAATTAACAACGGAGAAAAATAGATTTCCATTTGATTCACCCTTATAAAACATCAAAATCAACATAAAAAATTTGATAATTTACATACCTGATCTGAAGAAGGCAGGACATTTATAACAAATATGTCAGGTGGAATGTCCGGCGGTGCCGAATGTTACAGTTGAGAGGATCCAAATGCGTAAACACCTCTTTCCTGAAAACTCTCCAATGGCAGAAAGCTTACTAAATGTTTGTAAATTCATCTATTATTAGAGTTAGATTATACGTAATGTCTGCCATACAAGTCTCTGTGAATGAGCTGTTACTATAGTAACTATAACGTATTAGAATGAGCACATTAGACTCTAATACGTTAATGTTTCTGTAGTAACTCATTCACAGGAATAAGGAATCATTTATGCCTGCTCAGATACATCTGTACTTCTAACTCATGTAACATTAATAACATAATCATTCTCAAAAAACAGGTCTATAGATATGAATAATTGCGTAACTTATTTGTCCCTTCTTTGGTCACTGGAGGTCTAGTGGTTAGGCCCCGGTGTTCTCACCGCCGCGGCCCGGGTTCGATCCTCAGCCAGGGAACCAACCCCAGCCACTGGGGTTGCACAAGACAGTACATTCCCAGTGCACCCGGTCCCAAGCCTGGATAAGATTGGGGAGGGTTGCATCAGGAAGGGCATCTGGCGTAAAAACTGTGCCAAATCGAATATGCAGACCGATGATCTGCTGTGGCGACCCCTAACGAGAGCAGCTGAAAGAAGAAGATCAACAACGTTTGTCCCTTCTTTATCTCTAACAGATAGATGAAGCCAATGCGTTTGGGAACACGGCTCTGCATGTAGCATGCTTTAATGGTCAGGATGCCGTGGTGAGTGAGCTGATTGACCATGGAGCTAATGTGAGTCAGCCCAACAACAAAGGCTTCACCCCTCTCCACTTTGCCGCTGCGTCCACACACGGTGCCCTCTGCCTCGAGTTCCTGGTCAACAATGGAGCTGACGTCAATGTGCAGGTGATCTTCTGGCTCCCTTCTATCTCTCATATCTCAGGAAACCTTTGTTTCTTTTCATACCCTTTCTGAGACGTTGCCATTATTCTCTTTCAGAGCCGAGATGGGAAGAGTCCTCTGCATATGACTGCAGTGCATGGCCGCTTCACTCGCTCCCAGACTCTCATTCAGAACGGTGAGAGCTTTAAGAGTTATAAGTGGGCTGAAATGTGAGCCTCAAGCTATTATCATGCACAAAGTCAAGTCTGTAAGAAGTGTTGGTGTGTTTGTAATGACAGGCGGAGAGATAGACTGCGTGGATAAGGATGGCAACACTCCATTACACATTGCCGCTCGTTATGGTCATGAACTCCTCATCAACACCTTAATCACCAGTGGGGCCGACTGCACCAGGTGTGTGTGTGTTTGTGTGTGTGCTTTTATAACCAAAGATTAATGCACTGTTTATATTGGATAACACTTATGAAGTCTCTCTCTTTGCCTGTCTCTAGAAGAGGAATTCATGGGATGTTTCCCCTGCACCTGGCAGCTCTAAATGCTCATGCCGACTGCTGCCGGAAACTTCTCTCCTCAGGTACCTCTGCCTTTGGAGAACTGACACAACATAAAAATGTCACAGTACTGGTAGTGCGTTTTTTTTAGCACATCTGGAAATGAGCTGGAATGAAATTTAAAGCACACGCAGGACTTTAAATGTGCGCTCCATAATGTTGTAGACCTATACTAAAGATCCCTTAGGAAAATGATTCATAATATTGTAATGCCATGAATCTGGTTAGTTTTCTGTTTGTTTGTGATTTTATGTTTTCTGGCCCAGAAATGAACTCTGCTCCTAGCTGATCAGCTGCTTTCCCTCAAAGGCAACCCATAAGGCATATGTAGTTTCAACAGAGGGTGTAGGATCAATGTGTAGGTGGAGGCAAACCAATGTTTCCATTGCATTTGCCATTTTGCTCTGAAGCAGCAGAGGGTGATCAGGATTACAAATTGCTCCTTTAAGTTCAGTGCCATATTAAAGGCCTCAAACTTCCCTTGTTTTAATATTCTTGGAGCCATGCAGCACACTGTCAATATGCAATTGGCATTAATGAAACCAACAGTTCTCACTGATCTCCACTCCTTCATGAAGGCATCTTGATCCATAGCAGCAGATCTGCAGAGCCCAGGGGCCACTTCAGGCTTGTGATTTCTACAATAGGAAAATGCGTAGTTTTCATCTTTCACATGATGTTTCTTGTGTGCTTGTGCAGTAGCAGTGCAGTAGTGTCACAGCATGATTGTTTCCTGTCGTGTTTTGTGCTGTGTGTGTCCGTGTGATTGTGTTTGGTGCAGACTTGAGCTGCTCATCATTATAAATGTAGGGTTTGGAGTTAGAATCCCTGAAGAGAGACTTAGATGCTTCGTTTGCAGATGTATTGCTGAAGTGGGTGTCTTTAGTCACTGTATTCCTGTCTCTGCCATCTATGCATGCACATGTCATTTAAAAACTGTCTTCCCTTGCACTGGGTCTGTGTTCATCCTGCACTAACACTCTTCTCTTTCTTTCTCTCACTCTTTCTTTTTATCTCCCTCTATCCCTGTGTTTCTCTTCCTCTCCTGGGTCTGCCACTGTGGCTGTCTGCGTGTTTTGTCGGGGGCTTCCTTTCTTCTGTGCCCTTCCTCTTCATGCCTCCATCCTCGCTCAGGACGGAGGTATAGCATAATCTGCACCCTCAGTAATGACTCGGTCCTGTGTGCAGGCTTCCAGATCGACACCCCGGACAGCCTGGGCAGGACTTGTCTCCACGCAGCTGCTGCTGGAGGGTGAGTGTCTTTCCGCAGGATGTTTGAGTCTGAAAGAACATGGCAGTGAACTTCTGCCTGTCTGAGTGTCCTAAGAGCGTCTAAGAGTGTCAGATTCATTGCCTATTTTCATTATTACAGATATAGGTCTGGTCCTTTGATAGTCAGGTGTTCTTAATAATGCATGTAGTGATCACTCCCACCATATAGATGAACGTTACAGTTTTACAATTATTGACTGTATCAGTGGAAAGGGCTCACTATAGGGCCAAGATGTCTAAAACCCTGCCGAAGTTGTTGGATAGCTACATGCCATAGTGAAATGGACAAAAGGCTAATCAATTCAGTTTGTAATCAGATACCAGCCAAAATGTTCCTCATTCTCAATTGAATCTTTAAATAAACTTAATTTTCTCCCTTTTCACTTTTGCATGTAACTATATTTAGTAGAAAATGTAAAAATTTCACTACCTGAAATCCACCACAAATATACAGTATACTCAGCAAATAACTCTTAATGGATTTATGGGTGGATTTGGTAATAATTCACCTGCATATGAACATTCAAAGTCTGATCTAGTCAAAATGATAAAATAACACTTGCATTGTGTGACACTTGCTGTTGAAACGTCACTATTTGATGACCACAACTCTGGTCAGCTGAAATGAGTCCGTTGACTTAGACATGACTGCAAGTTTGTTTGCCTTTCTGCCTTCTCTGTTTATGCTATATTTACACACAATTTACAATTTAAAATATATCATTTTCCTCATTTAAAGTCTAGTAATTCTACCTTAATTCTCTCATTCCCCTGTTCTTTCAGCAATGTTGAGTGTGTGAAGCTGTTGCTCAGCAGTGGAGCGGACCACAACCGCACAGACAAGAATGGCAGGTCAGTGTTTCGATAACTGTTGTATTTATCAGTTTATCAGGAGTTATAATCTATAGATGCACATTTAAATATCTGTTTACAATGCTCAGTCTGATTGAATATATCTCGGGGGTGAGTAGCACAGCTTGGTCTGTCCGCAGTACAGAGCAGAATTACGGCCCAGTCAGTCCATCTGACAACGTCTTCACAACATATGAGACACAGACTGTTTGTTTTGTCCCAAATACAACGTGTTTATGTTTTGTGTGTGCTTTATCATAGGACTCCCCTCCACTATGCAGCTGCAAGTCGTCATTTTCAGTGCTTAGAGACTCTGGTGTCGTGTGGTACCTGTATTAATGCCACTGACCAGTGGGGGCGGTCTGCCCTGCACTACGCTGCTGCCTCTGACCTGGACAGGAGGTACAGATCTATGCTCTGCCATGTTTTCTTTCCATGCTAGTTTCCCAAACCAAAAAGATGCTAGTTTGCAAGTCTAGTTTGCCTAGCAAATAGTTTGCAGAACTTGAGCATTTGCATAGAAGCCCAAGGTTCCCTGATCAAACCACAGCAGAACATCCAAACATTTAAGATAAGAGCATGAGAAACACAAAGAAACGTAAATGGAGTAATAACAGCAGTCAGTGGGTATTTGACACAACTACTTCTTCCATCATTGTCATAACCAAGTGGAGCCTTGATGAGGGTTGGTACAGTATTACCACTCTGTTCAAGTTGCCATGGCAACTCTGGGATATTTTTAAGTCCCCCAGTAGACAATGCAGAGACGCTGCTGTGACGTCAAACTGAGGCTGCGTTTCTAATCACTTCACACTCAAGAGTGGATAAAAGGGAACAATTAGGCCTGCTGCTAATTAGTCAGTATGACTGGGTTTGACAGGCAGGTATGATGCGGCATAGAGTCACGTTTTTCTTGCCCCAATGAATAGTTACAGGTTTGGGGCTTGAAGGTCTTGATCAGAAGACCACTCACTTGAAGAGTAAAAGGCTGAATGTGTTTTGTTTGTGTGTGTGTGTGTGTTTGTGAAGGCGACGTGTAGCCCTGGAGCCAGAGAGTCCTGGAGTGCAAGCAGAGAAAGAGAAGGAGGCAGCTCTGTAAGTGCACATTACCTCATTTTTACTAAAGACCCTAAACTGAGACTATGAGCCCTAGAGACTGGCTACTATTATTATTTAGAGAACTTCTGTGTTGTTGTCATTGTCCTCTGCTCACACCTCTTGTTCTGCATTCACACTTGTCCTGCTAATGTGTGTGTGTGTGTGTGTGAAGGTGCCTTGAGTTCTTGTTGAAGAGTGGTGCCACCGCGTCACTGAAGGACAAGCAGGGTTACAGCTCTGTCCACTATGCTGCTGCCTACGGCCATCGACGCTGCCTGGAGCTGGTGAGAGGCGTATACACACACACACACACACACACACACACAGACACGGGTCATATTGCAATGTAATTGTTCTTTACTTAAAAAGCACGGGGTCTTGTTGCATGCTTAGTTGGATTGTGTGTTGAATGTCCTGTTAAATCTACCGCATCCTCAGCTAGTGTCTATACAAAGTAGTCTTTTTTGGTCAGGAGCTACTTTTTGCTTTTTCCTTTCATCGTATTTACTGAGCATTGATTCACTGAACGTTTTTGTTTTTGTTGTTGTTGAAGCTTCTGGAACGAGTAGAGCAAAATCAGGATGAAGGCAAGAACTGCAGCACCCGGAGTCCACTACATCTAGCTGTGAGTCATGCTAGCCCTCTCTATAGTCATTACAGTACAACCTTCACCTTGCTGTTTTTGATTCTTAGGATAAATCTACAACTACAATCACTTTTCAGCACTTTTCCATCAATATGGGGAACCATTCCACACTTTTCCACTACAAAAAAGCTCAACACACAAAGTCATTTCAGAT